CTTATTTTTTCCCTTTTTGACTGTCTTGGTTCTCTTAGAGCTCTTATGTTTATGGTTTTCTAGGAAATTTTGTTTACTTCAGTTTGATCCTAAATTTTGGATAGCACAAATCCTCAACAAAGGTAATTGGCTAACACAAAATATGTCAATTTCTGGAATATAAACAAGCTCCTATTGATCCACTTATATACAGTATCTTGATATATTATTGGTGATGTAGGAAAGAAAGTTCCAGAAAAAGTGTCCCCTCCAATCGTGTATATTCAACCTCCAAAAAACAATTATGATACTGAAAGGTAAGCGATGGGTAGGAATAGAAGATTCAACTTCCATCTCTCATTAAGTTCATCAGATTTTCTTGGATAAAAACTGAGGTCTCCAAGCTTCTATCCTAGTCAGGCAAACTCTTTCGTAATATAGCGCTGGCCTCACTAATGATAAGTGAATCCATATATCGGCAAAAGAATAAGTTTCTCAAATGGTTTTCTTGAAGTTACTTTCAGGAATGACTAAATTTCTTAAATGTTATGAAGCTTAGAGAATATCTTAATTAGACAAACCCCTTTCGAGAAAAAACTATTAAATGGAGCAAGAACCTTTTGGAGAGCTTTGAATTTTATTTCCTTTTCTTCTTTTTTCAATGCCAACTTTAGCAATTCATTATTTTTCAGGATAATCTATAGTGATAAACTGTTGGCAATAACCCTGGTTAACTTAGAGGCACTATTGTCAAGCTACTAGAAGAGTGAAATATTGTTTTTAAAATCTGACTTAGAATATCTAGTTTAGACTTAGTTTTGTTTAATCCGAACTAACTTAGTGGACTTCTTATATTTTTTAAGTAGTACAGTCCTTTAATTAATAATGTACAATAACAAGTTAGTCACTTTGTGAAAGTTTGTAAAATATTTAAGTATTTCTTAATATCTCAATAAAAACATACCATTGTGACATTATTGTGGGTTAAAAAAAAAAAAAAAAAAAAAACAAATTAATATAGTTTATGAAAAATTTAAAAACCTTAGTTTTTAATTAAAAAATCTTTTTATTATCTAATAAAATTTAAAAAAAATAAAATTTTGTAATTTATAGTATATTATATATCTCTCATTTTTTGGATATTTTAAATCTATTCTTTAAAAATTTAAAACTTTTAAAGAAAAATAATTTTTAAAAATTTTTTTACAATTATTATTGATATTATCAAAATATATAAATATAGTTAATTGAAACTTGTTTATATTCTATAAATCAATATATTTTGTATTAGTTAATTATCTTAATAAGAATTTGTATTATTCAGGATTTAAAATCAAATTGAGATAAACAAAATTTCTTAAAAACTTATAAAAGTAAAAACTTTAAAAAGGTTTAAACAATTATAAAGAAAATTTTCAAGTATTTTATAATCATTTCTTTTTTTTGAGAATTTTCTTGTTATTGATATAAAAGATATTGTTTAACTTTTTTTAATTATTAGAAGTCAAGTTTTAAGTAAAATAATTTATAAATAAGAAAGAATAAAAACAATTTTTGTGTTATATTTTAAAAATTTCTTGTAAAAATTTTTTTTGTATATGATTAGAGAATTAATAAAGAGTTTTTTTTAAGATATAATATATGAGGATGGATTCTTAAATATTTAGTATATAAAATTTTACATATCACTTATGTTTCTTTTTGAAAAACAAAATTTATAATTCTTTACTTTAGTAGAAACAAAATTCAATAATGTTATAAATCAAAAGTTTTGATAATAGAAAATTATTCTAGATAGTTTTTTTATAATTATTAATTTAAAAATTTTAATATTTCCTAGTAAGAAACATTTGACTTTTGTTCCTGTCTTCCCTTTAGGAACCCATCTTTAATAAGATATACTGTATATATTAATCTTGCTATTATCGTCAGCAGCTTATATTTTTATAAAAACAAATGTTTCTGTCACATGATTATCAGGTACTAAAAATAAATACCCTATCACGATTTCACGATTTGAACATTATTGCCAGAAAAGGACATTTATAAAGGGGTGGGAGATTAATAACGGAAAAAGCCAAGTGATAGATTAGACACTCAAGGTTTCTTTTTAAAAGAAACCTTTTCTCTACATAATCAAGAAAAAAAAAAAAAAAAAAAGCTTACCCGTCCTTTAAAAATCACCAAGCTAAGTTCTCATTCTGGGTAATCTTTAATGCGCTTTGCTTATAAGAATAACGTAACGTAACATGAGTTATAGAAGAACAACACTGTTTGTGGCTGGATTTGGATCCCAGACTAGAGCTAGAGAGTTAGCATATGAATTCGAAAGGTTAACAAACTATCATAGCTAAAAGATCGGGTTTTCTCGTAGATTTGCTGTTACTGATATAGATAATAATCGCTCTTCTTGTTTTAGATACGGGCGCCTAATTCGCTGTGATATCCCGGCACCAAGGAGTTATCAATCTAAACCGTAAATATTATTAATAGTCTGTCTTCTTTTAAATTATTTCCGAGGAAATCTAACGATTGATGGTTGATCTTCGGCGAGCCAATTTTTAAAAATTTATTTACCTATTAATCTGCATTTTTTTTTATTTCTTTATTATTTCGACGATAATGAAAGTTACGCTTTCGTTGAATTTGAAGATGAACGAGATGCTGAAGACGCCTACTACGAGATGCACGGTCGTAGGGTCTATGGTCATGCTCTAAATATTCAGGTCGTTGCCTATATGTTTTTCGACCTATCTTCTTTGAAATTATTTATTAAGATCTCATCCATTTTATAGTGGGCTAAGAACGCGCCTTCTAGATCTTGGAGGTATGAAGGTAGTAGTAGAAGTTCTCCTCGCCGAAGCAGGAGATCTCTTACGCCACCACGCCCTCATAGAAGACGTCGTTCTTATTCTCGTTCTGCCAGTCGCTCTTACTCTCGCGGTCGCAGTCGTTCACCTCGTTCAGATACACGTCGTGGAAGTCGCTCCCGCAGTAGAAGTGTTGATAAAGATAGAACTAATGGTGATGAGCGTGTGGTTGAGGATAGAAGATCCAGATCTATAACACCAAGAGATGAAACAAAACGTCGTGATTCTCATTCCCCCTCTTCTAGACCACCGGACGAAACAATGGACATAACTGAAAGATCTCCGAGAGAAAGATCTTCTTCTCAGAATGGTCGCCCAGCTTCTCGTTCTCCGTCGATGGCATCCGCGCGTCGTTCTCAGTCTCGAAGCCCCCGCGGAATTGAGTAAGATAGAAAAAGGAAAAAAAAATGAATGACCAATCCTCAACAACGCCGGCCTCTATAAAACGAAGAATACAGTGATTTAATACAGACTTCTTTGCATGTAAAATTTCTAAATATCATTCAATTTCCTTTGTATAGCTGCAAATGAATTTGAATAGCAATTATTTCGTTTTTTCTTTTCTTTATTTCCATATCTCTATTATATATCTTTTTGTGGGCGAGTGCGTACGTCTGGGGTTTTCTCTTTCCTTTTTTTTAACCTTTTCACGAAAATTGTTGTTGACGCTTAATTATGCTTTCATATTTTCAAATATTATCAACGAGTTTTTTATTGGTTATTTTCAAATTTATAAAGTGTGCAGTCTTCGGTCACGGATCGGAACGGTCGGTCGCAAGGTTGTACTTTTCGCGGTGGTTTCCGCATAGAAAAATCACCCAACATGTAAACGAAAATTAGATCCTGTCTCCCTCAAACAGTATACGGATATCCATGCGACTCGAAACTCTTTCGAACGCTCTGTACTCCTTGGTACAGTCGAGTCCTTCCTCCCCATCACACATCTCATTGCCATCCTAACGACCACCGTTTCTCCATCGAGTGTTATAATAATAAAGTATATTACTTATATTTAGTTTCTAAAATGACTTTTCTAACAATGTCAAATTCAGCATGGAAGTTGTTATATTCCATCTTCCCTCGTTATCGTGCTTTGCGGGGCCTAATCGAATGTGTCACTAGTTCAACACTACTACCTCGTAGTATCGGAGAAGAATTATCCATCCGGAACGCAAACAAAAAAATCTAACGATATTTTCTGATAAAAAATGATAAACCATGACGTTTGGTTAACGCAAAACGAACATACCAACGATACCAACTTTAAGGAAGAAAATGCCATTAAGACATGCGTTATCCGGTATGAGAATTTGAAAAAATTTTAGAATATGATTATTGAAAATTTTTTTTTCTTAGAAATTTTCCATCGAATACATTTGATCGTGTTTCATGGAATTCACACGAAGTGCACGAGGTTCTTGATAATAAACGGGTCTAGGTCAAAGAAGGATTTTATTAATAATTATGGCTAAGTATCCATTCTTTTTTTTGTTTTGGTTTGATGATTTGTGCAAGAACTTTATCTGCAATTAATTCTTTTACATTCCCGGAGATGGGGTTTAGCTTTAGTGAAAATGACGAAAGATTAATGTCCCCTCTTCATAATTTATAATCTTTTCTTTTTGTAAAAAACATACTTTAATAAAAAATAATGTTCTCTTACATAGAATAATTTGTGTGCTAAAGGTTAATTAATGCCCGTTAACATTTAAATCATTTCTTTGTATTGAAGAAAAATACATATAGTAATTTCTTAACAGTGACCCCAAATATATATTATTATTTTTTTCAACAAAATATTGACGACATCCGACCGCAGATCAACAAATCGATCAAGCCTTAACTGAGGCTCTCCTCTTTTTAAGGTCTGCCTTTCTTTCTTTTTGTTCCTTTACGCGCTTAGCGAGTAGGACTTCATATTCTGCCTTTGCTTCTTGGGCTGCTTTTGCTCTTCTACGTTTAAGAGCAAGACGATGGCGCTTACGTTGTAGAGTCAGGGGCGTCACAAGACGTTGGATCTTGGGCGCTTTTGTGATTGTTTTACCATTCTTCGTTGTTACTTCGCGACGAATGACAAATTTGCGAACATCATCTTCCTTCGACAGATTCTACAAATGCAATAAATATTGTTAAGAATTTGGTAGATTGACCAGACAAATTTAGGTTTTAAAAAAACATACAAAGAATTTGCGAATTTTTGACGCCCTTTTTGGACCTAATCGCTTAGGAACCGTATTGTCTGTCAATCCGGGAATATCCTGTTCACCTTGTTTGACCAAAACTAACGATAATACGGCAAGATCGTTTCCAACAATGCAACCGCGAACAGATTTTCTTTTACGTTCACCTGTACGACGAGGCCTGTAACAAGAATGCCCCTTTGACAATAGAAGTCGAACACGATCATTACGCAAAACACCTTGCTTCATCGGGAAACCTTGTTTATCATTCCCACCGGAAATACGGAAGATGTATCCCTTGAATTCGTCTCCAAGCGAATCGCCGGGAACCTCGGCACTGATTCGCTTGTCGTAGAAAACACGGCTGTTTGGAAAGTATATAAAAAAATTAATTATGATCCACATTAAAATCCAAAATAAATGTCTAGAGATCAAAAGCCTTTTGTTTTGTTGTTTTAATGCGATAACCGATATAAATTATAAATTACATACAGCTTTCGCTCATCGTCAAAGTCTATCAGCTTCTGACAGCCCGTGGCCGGATTGGCAATATTCAGCTGTGAACATTTCGTAAAGGTAATATTAATGTGGTATATAAATTGTGCTCACAATGTTCAACAAGAAACCGATCTTCTATCGACTCATAAATATGCAATTAGAAGTAATCACCTTCATGACCTTTGATACGTCAAGTAATTTGAAGAGAAAGATCATCTAAAAAATTTTTTTTTTAAATTTTATAGCTCGATACGTATGTCACGTGGTATGATGTTCATATATAAACGACATTCTTCCAGTAGTTGATACGCAAGAAGGGTTCGGAAGATTTCAACAAATTTAATAATAATAATGGAAAACATATTAGACGTTAGTTATCGTTTGGGTATAAAAGAAGCATAATCTATGTGATCTCAATGCTTTGAAAGTCGGATATACAGTATAAGAAAAGGATATATTTAGTTCAATCCGCAATAATATTATCATCCACTTCTTCATTGGTAGTTTTATTCTTTTCATCAATCATCAAACCTATTGCGTACATATTACAACATTAATCGAAAATTGACAATTATCAAGTGCAACACCTAATAGTTCTAATGCATGCCAATTGTATAAAATGTTTTGAAATTCGCGCAATATATTCAATACCTTCCCGCAATAAGACACCATTGTCATGCTATTTCTTAGATTTCCGATAGCCAACGTTTCCTCGTGACTCTAAATTCACAATATTGTTCGTTCAAAAAACCATCTGTTTTGTTTTCTTCAAGTTTGCAGATTCCGTACTTTGGATCTTACCCCTAGATAAAACGAAAATTTCAACAAACTTACTTGTACCTATAAAATAACATACTGTAAGTTTCCTATAATAAAAATGGAAATAGTAATGTTATGAATATGTTGCTATATGTTTGATTTATCCAAAATGATCAAATCCAAATCACCTAAATCGACAAATTAGTAATAATATGGATGAATAATTTACCCTTTATTATCAATTTTTGGAATCCTTAAGATGTTCTTGATCTGGTGTAAATAAACTTTAATATTATTTCCAAGCTTTCTCTTAAATTTGAAAATTATCAATACGATTTAATACAATTGTAGAGAAAAAAGAACTATACAGTATATAAAGGGTTTTTTTTTATTCTTCTTTTGTTATAACTTTAGCTATTAAGGTTATAATTTCTTGATTAAAGTTCTTTATTAATATTTAGAATTGTTTATAGTTTATTTTAATAGAGTTTTAAATATATAAAAAGGTATTCTATTTATTTGCTACTATTAAATTATAAAATAATTAAATGTCAAAGTTAGTAAACTTTAAGATAAAGAGTTTAATATATAAAAGAATTATTTTTATTAAGATCAAAAAATATCTTTTATATACTATATTTTATAGTATCAAAAATATATAATTCTAAAAATAAATAAATAATTGATTTTTTATTAATTATAATTTCATAGGAATTAATAATAATAATTTTTTTTTTTTGTAATATTTATAGTCAAATTAGATTTTTCTTTTTTTTTGAAAATTAACAGAGACTCAGTTTATTGAACTTTTATAGTTACCCTCTTTTCTTGACAGAAAGTAGAAATACATATAAAAATTATATTTATATAAATTCTAATTATTCTTAAATTCTAATTCATGTTTTTATAATTAATATATCAATAATCATATTATTTATAATAAATCTATTTTTTAAATACTTAAGATATCAACCTTATATAATATATTAATAAAAGAGAATCAATACTATTATTCTATTATACTATGTTTAAATTATTTCATTAAATAATTATATTATATTTAACATTTAAATTCTCAATATTTCATCTTATTAAGTATTTTTTTACACTTCCTATTATAGTATATCTATAGAATACTTATATTAAATTTTAGATATTATCTTATTTGTCAAACTACTCTTTTTATATAACTTATTATAGCCTTATCTATAAAATGATCATATGAAGTTTTAAACAGAATTTGTTTTTTTTAATAATAACTTTCTTTTTAACTAATATGTCTAAATATTATTAGATTTTTGTTTTTTGTTATACAAATCTTTAACTTATTTACTAGTATTTAAGAAATTAATTAAATAATAAAATAACTTTTAATGCTAAAGCTGATTAGAGTATTTTATAATACTTTGAATATTCTATTATTAAATAGAATCTTGATCAGAAATTATCAAAGCCAAATCATATTACATTCCTAGAAATCCATATACACTAAAGAGAAAAGGCTATGCAATAATTTGCTTCTCATCAGTACAAGATTTGAATAATGCTTTAAAATAGCATATATTTATTCTCAACCATAAACTCACCTGAAGTGCTAGAAAACATTTTAAAAAAAAACAAAGTCTTTCTCAAGAAAGATAAGATCATATCAGTAAGAGTGCTAGGGAGCGCTTTGAAAAAAAAATGGAACATGATAAAGAATTGACTCATATTGAAAGTAGGGAAGATAATGAAGAAAAAGTCTACATCAAAACAACATATGGCAAACTTTACTCAAGACAATTGGGTCAAACTAATATCAGAAGCAATATTAAAGCCAATTGGTATATAACATTTGAGGATAAAGTAGAAATAAAAAAAGATTCTAAAAAAAATAGATCTAAAAAGGAGAGAAAAAAGAAAAAGACGTAATTTTCAAGGCAACAAACATACTACTAGAACAATAAAAACTTCTTAATGTTTTGCCATTGATAGTAATAGGGAGTCCATAAAACCCTGTTATAAAAGACATTGGAATAATAGATCTGAAAGTCCCTATCCCAAAAGTGAAAGTGATCAAGATTCCTTTCACCAGATTCTAAACAATCTTAAATGACTAAATAATAGAATAAACATAATTGAAGGAAAAACAAGCAGTCAGAATAGGGTAAGAGGAAGGTGATGGAATAATTGTTTCTAAAATTAGCACCAGTCCAATTAACATATACCAGGAGTGAGTTTGACTCACAAGAAGAGTTAAACTCATTCTGAAAAAAAGATACAATCCCAAAAGAAACTGTAGACATCAACATTACCTCTTCCAATATAACACACAATACATCACTAGATGACTTTATCAGTGCAATTAAAAAAAAACACTAGTAATAGAATTGAAAAGGAGTATACATTATACAAC